TAAAAATGATGGTAATGTACAGTAACCCAAGCTTCTATGAGTATAGGCGTAGCCCTCTAAGAGATGTAGCTAATGGGTTTATCCCTCGCGCATGCGCAGTCCTGAAAAGAATTTTTTTGCGTCCTGTGCCCTACACTGGGCTCTCTCCACTCAGGTCCACTGTGGCCGCATAAAAGCCTATGTGACCTGAGTTCGGATCCCTATACTGTGTGTGTGTGTGTGTGTGTGTGTGTGTCAGCCTGTGGTTGTTCTTTCAACCCAGGAACAGTGTGTACAGCACTATTCTCAGATTTGAGTCCTGTTTGTTACTGTAAACCATTTGAGGTAACACTTTACTTTTAAAAAATAAAAAAAGTTTTAGAACACACTTTAGAATAGTTATAAACAAATAGAAGCACACTAAGTGTTTATTAATGTATCTGTTAACAGTTATAATGCTTCCTATAACAGGTTTATTAACAGTTAATGTATGTTTGAACACAGTATAACATCACATGAAACCTTGTGTCTTCAGAAGTTTTAAACATAGCTAACACTTTTAAACCTGCTGTATAATGTTGATAACAACATTAAACATTGTTACACTTGTCAAACACTTATTTAGATGAAGGCAAATAATTATGAAGAATGAAGTACTGAATAAGTACTGAATAAGTTTTTATAACCAGTGTTATAAACTGCTTTTACACACAACACACAGTAAGAAGAGTAGAGGGCTACGTCTATGCTCAGAGAAGCTTGGGCTACTGTACGTAACCATTGTTCTATTTCGTATAGGCTTTGCCTTCTAAGAGCTGTCGCTATTGGGGTAAAAGCGCAACTGGATGTAGTCAATGCCTCACTGGCTCACCACCGCTCAAGAGCATTACAAACAACATCACAGCTCGTCGTCATATCCCGTAATAGCAGCCCAACTACAACATCCTTTCTCCGGCAACAGGCCTTGTCTGAGAAGCAGGCACAATCATGCTCTATATACAGGGTGTGCCACGGAAAGGTAGCCCACCTCCAATATGAGTATAGGCGTAGCCCTCTAAGAGATGTAGCTAATGGGTTTATCCCTCGCGCATGCGCAGTCCTGAAAAGAATTTTTTTGCGTCCTGTGCCCTACACTTAGATGAAGGCAAATAATTATGAAGAATGAAGTACTGAATAAGTACTGAATAAGTTTTTATAACCAGTGTTATAAACTGCTTTTACACACAACACACAGTAAGAAGAGTAGAGGGCTACGTCTATGCTCAGAGAAGCTTGGGCTACTGTACGTAACCATTGTTCTATTTCGTATAGGCTTTGCCTTCTAAGAGCTGTCGCTATTGGGGTAAAAGCGCAACTGGATGTAGTCAATGCCTCACTGGCTCACCACCGCTCAAGAGCATTACAAACAACATCACAGCTCGTCGTCATATCCCGTAATAGCAGCCCAACTACAACATCCTTTCTCCGGCAACAGGCCTTGTCTGAGAAGCAGGCACAATCATGCTCTATATACAGGGTGTGCCACGGAAAGGTAGCCCACCTCCAAAATCCACTTGCTCGTTCATACTATCGCCTTAAGCAGGCTACTTTTCCATGGCCTGTAGAACATGACTGCCAATGTGAAGGCGGTTATGTTTATCAGGAGGATAAGTGCAGACAAAAAGCAAAGAAAATTAGCTTGTGGAAAAAGGCAGATGACAGTTACACATGGTGCAATCAGATGCTCAAGCAACAAAAACCAAATATGAAAACATAATGCCGGTTGGGCTCTCTCCACTCAGGTCCACTGTGGCCGCATAAAAGCCTATGTGACCTGAGTTCGGATCCCTATACCAGTGCTTTTTCTTCATCCGGTGGAAGTAGAGACAGTGGGGCTGCAGCTTAGAGGGCTACGTCTATGCTCAGAGAAGCTTGGGTTACTGTACGTAACCATTGTTCTATTTCGTATAGGCTTTGCCTTCTAAGAGCTGTCGCTATTGGGGTAAAAGCGCAACTGGATGTAGTCAATGCCTCACTGGCTCACCACCGCTCAAGAGCATTACAAACAACATCACAGCTCGTCGTCATATCCCGTAATAGCAGCCCAACTACAACATCCTTTCTCCGGCAACAGGCCTTGTCTGAGAAGCAGGCACAATCATGCTCTATATACAGGGTGTGCCACGGAAAGGTAGCCCACCTCCAAAATCCACTTGCTCGTTCATACTATCGCCTTAAGCAGGCTACTTTTCCATGGCCTGTAGAACATGACTGCAAATGTGAAGGCGGTTATGTTTATCAGGAGGATAAGTGCAGACAAAAAGCAAAGTAAATTAGCTTGTGGAAAAAGGCAGATGACAGTTACACATGGTGCAATCAGTTGCTCAAGCAACAAAAACCAAATATGAAAACATAATGCCGGTTGCCAGTCCCTGGTAGGCTAGTGGTTAAGGTGCAGCGCTTTCGCCGCTGCACCACAATAGGTAACAGCCAGACAACCGAGCGAATAAGGCCAGGGCAGTGCAGCCACTGGCCACACATGCAGCATCAGTGCCCAGTGGTGTGCATGTGCACTCACGCTCCGCGTCGCGGGGAACCTCCAATCCCAGAACCGAATGAGCCAGTGAAAATTCGGATGCGCCCCAAAGATAGAAGTGGTTAAAAGGACATGGGGAGGCCCAGGAGGCTGCTGTGCAAATGTCCTCCACAGCCATTTCCCCGAAGAGTGCTGTGGACGAGGAAAAAGCCCTTGTGGAGTGAGCCCTGATGCCAGATGGGGAATCTCTCTCCGCTGACACGTACACCTGTATGGTGGCCTCACACAACCAATGAGACTGCAGCTGCTTAGTCAGGGGCCTCCCCAGAGAGTTTTCCCTGTAATGCACAAACAACTGTTGGGTTTGTCTGATAGCTGCCATGCAGGCCACATATTGGGACAGTGCACGCACAAGGCAGAGGGTATGGAGCTCTCTTTCCGACTCATCTCTGTGTGGGGCAAGAGAGAAAAGCAACCAGGGAGATGACTCTAGATCGAAAAGAAGATGTTATTATTTTCAGCGTGTGCGTGGGGTTTGGTTTACTCGTTTAGCTGACGTCAGGGCTAAGAGGAGCGCAGCTTTCAGCTTCTGTCTACCAGTGTCGTGGCGACCCCTAAACGGTGAAAAGCCAAAAGTGCCAGTCACCCATGGCAGGCAGGACCGGAGGGGGGGAACAGACGTGCCAGAAGGGGTGCACAGTAAGTGTGTGTGCGCCTGGCGACAATGCACTTGCACGGCTTGCATTGTGAGGAGCAGGCAGACGTTAGCTACGCATGGTAACAGTCGGATGCTTGCTTTTCTTTCTCTTTCTTTTTTTGTTATTTTTGCAACGAAAAAACAACAAAAGGAACCAGATGTCCTCAGCCAGCTACATTCAGGCAGGCAGGGCCAATAGCAGGGGGCAGGAGAACCGGGGAGGGCACACAGAGAGAGTGTGTGCGCAGAGTAAAAATGCATGCATCAATAGCTTTGTGCTTGCAGAACGGTCAGGCGACAGTTACATAGGTAACAGCCAGACAACCGAGCGAATAAGGCCAGGGCAGTGCAGCCACTGGCCACACATGCAGCATCAGTGCCCAGTGGTGTGCATGTGCACTCACGCTCCGCGTCGCGGGGAACCTCCAATCCCAGAACCGAATGAGCCAGTGAAAATTCGGATGCGCCCCAAAGATAGAAGTGGTTAACCCGTTCTACTGCGGCTGCAGCGGCGCAGGAGAAGGTCATTGCTGCCCACCATGGCCCTCCCAATTTCCCCTGCATCTGTGGGGACACTCCAGGCTGGGCAGCAAGGGGAATGGAGTGCCACATTATTTATAACCACAGCTATCTGGGATGCACAGTGGTGGATGTGGTTTGAGGCAGACTGTAACCTTGTCTCGTGAGAGTGGAGGAGTATGCCATTTCTCACTAGAGAACACTGCTTTGAGGAGCAAGACGGAGAAAAAACTAGGCTTCAGCAGTGGAACGACAGGATAGCCAAACTCTGTTGCGCCCTGCACCTTTTCTGGTGAGCCCATTATGTCAGACGGGGGAGGAACTGGGGCTTCCGGCAGGGGGAGAGCCCCCTTGCAATCTGCTGTCTTTTTTAATGATGTCTGGCAGATCACGGAGCAGAGCCCCAAAGGCTGGAAGCCCAGAGGCTGGCCAGAGACAGCCCGGCGGTGGGAGCGTGCTGCTGTGCTGGAGGGGGCTTGTCTAGGCCGGTATCCATGTCAACCGATAGGTCAATAGGAGAGCCAGGGTAGCCAGCGATGGAAGGAAGTGAGCATCAGACTCAGGCCTTTTCACGCTGAAGAAGAAGCCCGTATTGCAGCCTGGGCAAAGGGTGATGGCAGAGCGACACTGGAGTCTGGTGTTCATTGTTCAGGAACTTTGCTCTTTAGACATTGCTCTTTAGGAATGCTGAAGAAAAAGAGGGAGCCAAACTCAGGTCACATAGGCTTTTATGCAGCCACAGCAGACCTGAGTGGAGACAGCCCAGTGTAGGGCACAGGGTGCGAAAGAAATCTCTTCAGGACTGCGCATGCATGAGGGATAAACCCGATGGCTACAGCTCTTAGAGGGTGAAGCCTATGTGAAATAGAACATCACTGCTCTAATCCAGTGGTGAGGAGACAACTTAATACATGCTTGTTGAATCTTAGATAGATGTTTAAAGATGATAAAAACAGGACTGAACTGAAACTGGAATCAAATAAGGGTGTTACGGCATATTATAAACCATTAGTAACTAGCAGTTTAATGTACTGATAAAAATGTTTTTAGAGAGTAAACAAACCAGTCAAATAGACACTGGAAATCAGGAGGAATTCAGATTTATCTTTACACCAGTTAATGCTTCAACAATTTTACTTAATGTATTGTCTTTTTTTCCCTGATCCCTTCACATCTTCTTCCTGTCTGTCTCATCCTCCCTTTCCACCTCTCTCTCCTATCCCACTACTCTTCCCTCTGCTCCTCTTGTTTCCTTCCCGCTTTCATCCTTCCATCCCTCTATCTCCCCAGTCCAGACGACAGCAGGACCCCAGCCCTGGCTCAAACATGGCCAACGCTGACGTGGAACACAAGATGCGCTGAGGAGGATGTGAGAATGAGGAAGTAGTGGAAGGGGGAAGGGCAGAGAACCAAGGCTGGATACATTCATGTTCAATACAGTCAAATGAAAAAAATCCAAACCAACAAAAACAGCAGTTGTAGACCGATTGTTCACCATTATTTTTTAACAGGTTTGATGTGACCGTTTCCACATGCCAAACATTTTTTGAATATTTGAATGTAGGAGAAACTAAACTTCCTATATTGACTGAATTGAAAGTGAATAACAGCCCCAGAAAAGAAGGATTAAAACGGTTAGAGATACAATGTGGGGGGGTGGGGGGATTATATTTAAATGCAATGGGAGGAGCATGAGCAGTTGATTTAGCATTATATTGAAAATGTAAGAAATCTAGAGTTGAAGTTGTTTTTTGAGTCAAATGAGTGTTTTAGATACAGGATATAAAGAAAAGATCAAGCCATTCAAAATTTTTTATATTTTTTGTCCCAGTCAAAAAGGATTTGATGGATGGAGTAATTTCAGGTACCACAAGTATATTTTGTATTAATACAATGATGTTGAAAATTGAGGTATGGGTTGTAAAGGGTTTTATGGTAGATGTTATTAACAGTTAGCGGAGGAAGGAAGGAGGAGAGAAAAGAGTCTGGCCCGGGGTCACGGCCAGGGTTTAGTGGTCAGGATTACCAGTAGAGCATGCATCAAAGGTGAGGTGTTGACAGTTCGTGGGGACAAAAAGAAAAGGGAAGAGATTCTGCATTGTTCGGTGTTGTGCAACACTTTACATCTGTGAACATGTCAACTCCGAGTGTACATTACTCACTTCCTGAAACCTGCTGTTTTCTGAGACCAAAGTTCACTTTGCTGGAAAAGGGAGAGAGGGAATCAAAGAAGAGGGAGACTTGGGGAGGGGAGGATCCAGAGAGAATTCTGCCAGATTTTAGGGCTAAGATGTTTGCTGTAATATAATATTAACCATCTCTTTAAAATTTCAGTATGTTGGTGTGTCCATGACAATAGAACTGCAGCATTAGCAACAACCTCGAGGCAGAACGGGTAACTGCTGGAAACTCTGCTATTTTTGGCTCTGGAAGCAATTAGGGGAAATGACAGGGTGTTTTATCGGGGGGGGGTCCAATTCAAATGTCTTTTGCCTTCCGAGGGGCTTTGCACTATGTGATACAATCAGTCTTGTTCTCAAAATGGTTATTTTTTATATGCATGACACCTATGTTCTTCGCTGTTTCCTATGCAGACTGTTTATCATCGGAGCACTCTCGTTACAGCTCTTTGATAAAGAATAACTGGGTGACTGTCACTGTGAAGTCACACTGAGGTGTGCTCCTCCTATGAAACCAAACAGTAGCATGCCTGACTAAGCACGGTTTCCTGCTTTGTGTGTCTGCTGAGCAAAGCCTGTCTGGTTGGCCCACGTATCACCCTATGATTAGCTCAAGTGTTGCTCTGGTGTGACTGTCAGGCAGCAGTGAACACAGATGTGGTACCCTCATCCTTTAGAATCTTTTCATACCTCTGAACCAAAAGTAAGTTCTTCAGAGCCGTCATCATAATACATACTGAAGTATGAAGCATTTTTCTCATGAGGGACTTTACAGGTAACATACTATTGTAACATGCACACTGATGTTCAAAAACACACCAAACACTTCTATTAAAATATTGTATTGCAGTCAACCTTGATAATTAATCAGCACAGACTGTACTGTCCAGTTCAGTTATGGAATCCATCTATTGGTTGAACAATCACCCTGATATTCCTCATCATTAAAGACCTGTAAAAGCCCAAACCCAGTCTAAATCCCATGTCTGTCCTGTTACAGCACTAGTATAATGAAATGGTGTTTTGTTATCTTATCATTTTGTTTGTGTGAAAGTCATGATGTTTACTTTTTATATTGTTTCTCACCTGTATATGCATTCATTTTTGTCCATCTTTCAGCTTTGTTATGAAATAGTAGTAGTAGCAGTAGGCGATGTTATGCAAAGTTGACGTGTCTCCAGTAATTTGGGAGTTTTAAGGACTTTTGTTGCTTATTGTTTTTCATGTATTTTATGTTTTAATAATGTTATTTTTAATGTTTCTTTTTTAAGGAAATCACTTTCTGGGTTAAATTCATTGAAATGTGGATTGATTCAAATGGCATAAGTGTTTTTATATTGTGCAGCTAGAAGCTCATTTCATTTTCTAGTGTGTTTAACATTTACTGCACTCAACAGTTTTATTATCATTATTATAATCAAGAAAAATTGTTTGTTCATACTTTTCTTTGTTATCAGTCTGACTTATTAAGAATTTCATTGAGCTTTATGATCTAAGAAAACTGGTGAATTGTAAAGACTGTTAATGGTCATCTGTAAGATGTGGAGTAAAGAAACATTGAATTAATAGTTCAAATTAAAATTACAAAACGGGTTAGAGAGAGCCTGTGTAATTGTAAGACTTCAAGATGTTCTTAACTGGGGGAAACTAAGAAAAAAATTACTTTCCCATTGCCAGTCTTAGTTCATATGATTCCCACAGAGATTTGGGACAGTGGGGACAAAAGCTTTAATGTTTCTAAATCTCTCAAAGCATACTGATCCTGCAAAATCAGTTGGGCTTGTGACTCTTGTGGAGCCACAAGCCCATATGTCTGAGGGCACCTCCTGTGTAATAAGCGGTAAGCTTTTGTTACTCAGCTGTGTTTGATATCATTATGTTGTAAAGTCCAGCAGATGAGACAAAGTCTTGAAGTGACATTAAGTTTGAATGAGGATGTGAATTGATGTAAAGACAGAGAAAAGCATTAGAAAGTGGCAGCACAAAATGGGTTGTGACACAAGTAGAGGCCCAGGTCAGGTCGATTAAAGCTGTCAGAGATTTACCTTTAGAAGTTGTACACTTTGGGATGAGGTTTTGGGATGTGTTTGGAAATTTGGAAATTAATTGGCTCTACAATGGCTAGATTATTCTGCCATAAGTGTTAATACAGCTCAGTTTCCCAGATCAGTTTTAGTTGTAACACTATCCATGAGTGGTCTCATGAGATCTGCCATATTTACAGAAGGGGACACAGCTCTGTTGTTGGGACCCTTTGTGGGTTTAAGCAGTGTAACTGGTACTCATGTCAAATAGAGTACCAGCTTGACCCCATTGTACCCATTCAGTGCATCATTATTATTATTTAGATGTTTGCCCGTGTAAACATAGCTGATAGTCCATCCCTCAGATTTCTTAATGCAGGCATTAAGGTAAAATCAAAGCCTTTTCTTTCTTTCTTTCTTTTTCTTTCTTTCTTTCAACTTAAACTGTTGATCTACTGTACTTATTTGTTTAAGTTATTTATACTTTATTTAGAGATCCAAAGATGTACCCTGTGCTATTTAGCGGCTTGTAAAAACACTCTCTATCCTGTGCCTGTGGTCTGTCTTTCCCTTCTCTTATAGGGTTCACCTCACCCTTCTTAAGGAATCTGAAATATGAGACATTCAGTTAGAAATGTTGGATGTTGTTCCATAATAAACATGTATGAATTCTTCATGCCATGTCTGTTCTTTAAAGCGAAACCTCTATGTAAAACCCCACACAGCTCTAACCACAGATGTTTCCAATTTGCCTGATTAGACTAACTGGGCTTGATTGTGCTTGACTGACATTAATTTCACTTCTGCCCTGCTTTGATGTAAGCAGTCTAATTAGCCAGAATAAATTAAAACACCTGTGTGGGAGTGTAGGCGTTTACATATTAAGTCTAATAATTGTAGTCTGTTTTATAGTTTTGACTTGTTGCAGAAGTACAAGTGTTAATTTTGGTTACCAGTAAGCAGTGAGAGCGTGACAGTGAGCCAGGACCCTGAAACTGAACCATCATTCATTTTATTATTTACTCATGTGTTTTCCTACAAGTCAAAATATCTGTCTTTATACCATGCTTCTGAATATAGATTATTTATCTTTGCCCGTAAATTTACAAATCAATTAAACTTTCTGGAGTAAAAAAACAAAACAAAAGAAATGTAGTAATTAGTTCAGCCACTGATGAGATTGGAATTACATTACACTCAGAAATAACCCCCACTGAAGTTGCAAATAGTGGGTTCTGTGGATTTTATTTATTTATTGTTAGGGGGTAACAGAGGGGGCATTGTTTTAAAAAGATGTTTTTTATGTCATTTTTTAAAAATGTTGTCAGAAATATGGCTTGATATCATTTAATTTTAGTCCAGTTCGTATTTTGTAATTTAGCTGAAACAAAGACGGTCTGTATAATTAAACACAGACAAGCACTTGGATACGGAAAAAAGAACAGAAAGAAAAACTGAAAATTATTCTCTAAATCCCCTAGGACAATCTGGCCGGCACTATGAGCTCTCTTGTGGTCAAAAGTTGCTTATCTTGAGGGAGATTGTACAAAATTACAAAATCAGAAATTAAATTTATAAATAAATGCAACATATAAAATCATGAAGCATTTACTTGTCCCTTGCATGGGGACATGTACCAGAGTCAAATTCCTGGTGTGTCCGACACACCTGGCTAATAAAGCCGATTCTGATTCTGATTTTAGGCATCTAGGCTATCGGATAAAGAAACACAGGAGCATTTTAAACTATAAAAATGAAGTTGGGTGCTACTATAGAAATCCTAGCTTACAAAAATATGCATAAATCAAAATAAATGTGGGGTTCTATCATTTGACAAATCCAGAACAATTGGGAAAGACTGGCTCTATACACAGCTTTCTTGGTCGACTGTGTCGGCTGACCGCAACGTCATCACGCAATCGAAGACCGTGCGTCTAACACAGGAAGTTGAATTATCAGCTGATCCTGCTGGCTGTTGTTAATGTTGTACAGACATCGTGTTGCTCTTACCAGCTTCAGACATTGAAGACATTAACCTGACAAAGGGACACGGTGGGCATTTACCGGCTAATGAGCTTATGAGCAACAAGGGAAGCGTCTAAAAACGACGACTGAATTTGCGCACTAGCGGCAGAAGAGCTAGCTCCAAAGCTTGAACCTTGGGTGGGAGGAAGAAAGAAAAGCAGCAAAGACAACCGACGGCTTGGGGTGCTTTCTTTGTTTATGGAGTGAAAGTCTGAACCACAATATTAATTTTCTTTCTCTTGATTTTTTTAATTTCAAATACTTTATTTATATTTATACTTTATTAGCATTATGCATAGGACAGGTAGATCTTCAGCTAACGTTAGCTCATAGCGCAAAGAAACAGTCTTGTTTTCAAGCTTCGAGTCTTTCGTAACCGCCCGACAGTGACAAATAACGATAGCTAACAGTCAGGTTTGGACAAATTGTTTTCGTGCCTCTGTGTTTTTTGGCTGTTTACCAGAGAACCAGGGGCTCTGTTGGTCTTCTGGAGACGCAGGACACAGCACTGCCAACCCATTGATGTTCAGTCGTTAATTGAAGTCTGTTGGAGACGTTTGTGCGTTTTGCGCATTTTTCTCCTTTCTACTAGTTTATTCCTTACTCTGAAGTGAGTGGAATTAGGTTTGTTTTTTTTATCCATATTTTTAAACCACACAGGCAAATGATAGGTTAGCTGACAGCTGGCCTTCTACGTTTTAGATTTGCTGGCAGGTTGCGTAATTTGTTTGTGTGCACACTGTCAGTATTTTCTGGGTAACTTGTTATACTTATTTAAAAACATATGCATCTTAGTAAGCATTAGGTGTTCGGCTTTAGGTGGCGTTGTGGAGATCATTCTACATATTTAACACATTGGATCATTATTCTTTAGTACCTTTTTAATGTCAGGAACATATGGCATGATATACATTGGGTTCTTTTTACTATAACCCTTAGAATGAGTAGCTATTCGATGCTAACACTCATGAATTTCTTAGCTTTAAAAAAATAGGTAGAGCTATGAAAATTAGCAGCATCTGAAGCTATTCTGAGACAGTACTGTGATCAGGGAGAGACGGGTGGAGATAAAGGGTCCCTCTGAGGGTCCCATTGTGTCTTGAGGTGAGCTGCCCTCCACTACTTGCCAATGCTGGATCTGGAGGTGGTGCCTGAGAGATCACTAGGAAATGAGCAATGGGAATTTGCCTTAGGTAGGTGTTAGAACAACATTTAACATTTCTGAAAGCATAACTCACACATACAAAATAGAACAATGAGACTTTACTATGATTTCCTTGGCCTTTCATGTTGCTTTTACTGTTGCTTCTACTCATTTGACTGTGTGTTTACATGTCTGTCTTCAGGGATGCCATTGGCCCAGGCCATCTCTATTTTACAGAAACACTGCCGCATCATCAAAAATGTTCAGGTGCTGTACAGTGAACAGGTAGGATGACGAAATGTCTTTATTATTCTTGCAAAAATGGTTTCTCACAAAAATGGTAATTAGCTTGTACAAGGGACTCCTGGGCAGCAGTACAGTCCTGGGCCTGAGTGATTACAGTAGTTTTACAACCCAAAATATTTGAATTTTTACAGTATTTTTAGTGAAATTATATCAATATTGGCATATGTGCATGTTAGCTGATAACTAACGAGGAAGGCCAAACAAATATATTTGTGACAAATTAAAGGAAAAGTCACAAAGTGGAAAAACATAGATTTTTTTTTTTTGTAAATTGTTTTCTGAACATCTTTATCATTCCTCTCTTGGAAGCAAGACGCATCATTCTTCTAGAACATATTCCTTCAGGATGTTCAGCACAGTTTTTTCTAATCATTAGCTCATTCAGTAACCTAGAGCTGCAATGATTAGTCAGTTGCCTGGCAACTATTTTGAAGTAAAAACCACCAATATTTTTCAGTTCCACCTTTTTTAATATGAGTTAATGTTTTTCTTTGTCACTTATGATAATAAATTGAATACATATGGATTTGTTGGTTGGACAAAATAAACAATTTCTAGACACCATGTTTGACTGTGGAAAGTCAAAATGGACTTTACCTAATTTTTGACATTATGTGAATAATAAGATAAATAATCAGGAGGTTAAACAGTGACAGTTGTGTTTTTGTTTATTAGTTTTTTCTTTACTTTGTAACCCATTTGTATGTTAGGGGTAATTTGTCCACCAAACAGCACTTGGAAGTTAGTTTCATCCATAAAATCTTCAGAATAATGTATGTCTTGGTCATAATTTAAAAATATTAAGGGACATGTATCAAAAATTGGGTGTATGTGAGAAGGATATAGACTTGTTATTGATATTGTTTAAAAAATTGGATCAAATATCAGTCTTAAAAATCTAATATCAGTAAATCTACATTTAAATTACCAGCTTGTACAAGTCAGTCAGGAAGGTTATTATTGAGATGCTAAAGCTTGGATTTAAGAATAATCCAAGGGCAACTGGAAGGAGTCCATTTGTTCTCCATTTAAAATATGTATTTGATATATGTTGTATAATGTTATTGTGTCTCCCATTTCCCTTAAGTCGTTTTTAGTACCCACTGATTCTGATTTTGCCTATCTGCTTGCCAGCACTGCTAATTAGTTTATCTCCCCATTCAGATGCCACTCAGCCATGACCTCATACTGAACTTGACTCAGGATGGGATTAAACTGCTGTTCGATGCCACAAATCAGAGACTCAAGGTGAAAATTGTTGATTTTAGCAAAAGGGAGGGGGTGTAATTGGTGGGTAATGTGAAAGGAAAACTGTCAGCCACAGAGGGAACCAGACCCAGTGGTGTGTGGGCAATGAGACTTCAGCTCAAGGAGATTTTAGAAAGCTGCTCATTGAGAGAGACTCTGAGTGTGTTTCCGGTGCCGAAAGGTTTGTAAAGAGATTGCCCAATATTATGCAGGGATTTTAACAGAAATTGAAATTAATTTGGACTTGCACACCAGATGTTAATAAAACAGGGCCATATTAGTAGCAGCAACTTACACCCGTTGCTTAATTTAGCTCCCTTTTCTAGATAATTAACAAAGCTATGACACTTTCATCATTTGTTTTGTGCCCTAAGTTTTTCCATATTTCTGGGTGACAGGTGATCGAAGTGTATGATCTGAGCAAAGTCAAGTTGAAATACTGGTGAGTAGGAATATAATACCAAAATTAACATACAAGATACACACATTTGTTGACATTGTTGTACTGTATGTTGCATGGGTTTTGCCTGCAGTGACAAAGTATTCAGAGCCCTTGACTTCCTGCACATTTTGTTGTGCTCCTAAATTGTAAATGGATAAAACTGCCATAATGCCAGCCAAGTTACACTCAGTAACTCATAATGACAAAGTAAAAACATGTTTTTAGAAACTTTTAATTTGAAAAATTTTGATTTCTGGAGCTCTGTTACAGTGACTGCTGGGTTTTTGGGCACCTGACAAAGCCTGAGAAATGGTTTTATACCCTGGTCCTGATCTACATCTAGCTCAGAGGTCTACAGAGATTTCGTCGTGGCGTGGTTTTGTCCTGCATTGTGGAACTGTGGGACCTTGTCCAGTCAGTTCAGTTGCCACAGGTGGATTCTAATCATGTTCTAGACATGATCAAGGATAACTGGAGTGCAACAGAAAAGGGTCTGAATACTTTTGTAAATTAAGATTTTTCACGTTGATATTTTTTAAATACATTTGGAAGAACTGAATAAAAACATATTTCACTTTGTTGTTATTGGCTATCTATTGTAGGCTGATGGGCAAAATTGCTATTTAATCCATTAACAATAAAATCTGTTTAACCTAAAGGGCTCTGAACACTTTCCGAAGCTACTGTACATAATGGTCATAATTATTGTACATGTTAATTTTAACACTATATGTTTCAGTGGAGTCCATTTCAACTCTCAGGCCATTGCCCCCACAATAGAGCAAATAGACCAGTCGTTTGGAGCTACACACCCTGGAGGTATTTTACAAAGCAACAACACACATTTCTCATTAAAACGCGATACATTAGAAAACACAGATAATATAAACACAGACACATGCTCCTCAGATACTGTAGAACCTGGGCCTGTATTTGCACTAGATATAGTTGCAGTCAAAATTATTCAGCCCCCAATTAACAAATTAAACAAGAACTGAAATAGCTCAACACAACTAATGTAACAAGTGGTTTCTCCAAATTCAACACAAAATGCAGCTTTTAACAATTTCTGCAGTCTCAATTATTCAGCCCCTTCATGGCAAGTGCCTTTAGTACTTAGTAGAGCACCCTTTCGCTGTCATGACTTGGTGCAAACATGATGCATGGCCAGACACCAGCTTCTGGCAGCATTCCTGTGGAATCTTAGCCCATTCCTCATGGGCAATGGCCTTAAGGTCACCAATATTCTTGGGTTTGCATGTTGCAACCACCTTCTTCAAATCCCACCAGAGCTTTTCTATGGGGTTCAAGTCACGTGACTGTGACAGCCACTCTAGAATCTTCCACTACCTCTTCTGCAACCAAGCCCTGGTGGACTTTGAGGTATGCTTGGGATCATTGTCCTTTTGGAAGGACCAGTGATGCTCAAGCTTGAGCTTCTTCACAGATGGCATGATGTTTTCTCCTAGGATTTCCTGATACATGAATGAATCCATCTTGCCTTCCACACGCTGCAGGTTCCCAGTGCCAGAGGAAGCAAAGCAGCTCCAGAGCATCACTGAGTCACTGTAGGCAGGGTGTTCTTTTCAGCGTATGCTTCATTCTTCTCCTCCAGACGTGCTGCTGATCCATAGGCCTGAAAAGTTCCAGTTTTGTTTCATCGCTCCATGGAACAGAATTGCCCAACATCTGTGGCTTATTGATATGATTTTGAGAATATTGGAGCTAACTTTTCCTGTACTTTTGGGTCAGTAGCAGTGTATGTTTTGCCATGGAAACCTTGAGTATTTAGTATGCGCGCTACTGCTCAAACTGAAACATCAGTGCCTGTTGCCACCAAGTCTGCAGGTCTTTTGCAGTCACTCAATGGTTTTACTCCACCTGCCTCCTCAGACGTCTGGTTGCAGCCGTTGATAGCTTAGTAGCTATTCAGTAGCTTCGCTATCTTTTTGTATCCTTTTCCTTGTTTGTGAAAGGCAATGATCGCTTAACTTTTTTTTTTTTTTTTTTGACAATTCTTTTGACTTAGCCATGTTTCTAACATGCAATCAAACATGACACTCAGCAAACTCTAGCCAGTTCAAGTATTTGATGTCTCAAGCACACCTGGTGCTTGAGACTAATGAAGCCCTTGATTAGTTAAATCAGGTGTGCTTAAGGCAACACCTGATTTGCAAATGTGTGTTCTTACGAGGGATTCTACTCAGGAGGGCTGAGTAATGTTAAGACTGCAGAAATCATTAGAAGTTGCATTTTGGAGAAACCATTTGTTACATTAGTTGTGTTAAGCAATTTCAGTTCTTATGATTTGTTCATTGCAAACAGCTGAAAGCTTGTAAATTTAGCCATTACACCTAATTTGCAACAGGGGGTGAATAATTTTGACTGCAGCTGTACACCTGATCTAACGTATCACTTTTCCTCTCTGACTTTCCAGTTTACAATGCTGTGGAGCAGTTGTTCCATCTCAACTTTCGAGGCCTGTCTTTCTCTTTCCAACTGGACTCATGGAATGAAGCTCCAAAGTATGAGGTGAGCATGATATGATCAGTTTGCTTGTCATCTTCTTAAAGAAGAGCTGAGTGGTTCATTCTTCAGGTCCTTGGGGAATCAGGGCAGCATTGTGATTTTATGTGTTTACCCTTCACATTGACAGTCTCAGGTCAAGCCCTGTGTTTGTCTCATTGGTGTTGGATCCAAAATGTGTAGAGGTGTGATCATTATCACACCCAAGAATACAAAACCTTTGTGGCAGATTTTCTATAATAAGATGCACAGAGTACAAGTTCCACACTTGAGCTGTCAAAGGCTCATTGCAGTATAATGTAAGCAGTAAAAATCTAACTGTGGTAGGGAGCTCAGGGACTTGGGTTGTCTCCGAGACAGCACAGACCCCCAGCAGCAACAGTTCAGATTTTTAAGGTGATAGATTCTAACTCTGCAAACTGCTTGTTTACATTTACTCTGTGGATACAAAAGTGTTTTGTTTTTGCCTCTGGCTTTGGTTTTGAAAAGAGGACTTGTACCATTAGTGAAAAGCTCTGCTGTGAATGTACAACTCATCTAATGTCATCTTTCACATGTTTAGTTTACCTCAGCTGACTTCATATCCAACTCTGTTTCTTTTCTGCTTATTGCATCTTTTTATTTTGACCATTTAGTTCCTGGGTTTTTAATGCTCCAGTAAACTGTGTGATAATGTATAGACTGTTTACAGATCTGCCTCAAGCTGCATGTTGATGGTTCTGGGTGATAATCTGAAACAGCAGTTAGTGCTAGCTTGTTTCTGTAGTTATATGCATGTACAAGGAGTAGTTTCTGTTGATGATTGTAGTTATATTTTCATTCATTTATCAAAGTCTCAGTGCTCCGCTGTTGTCTGGGATTCTTTGTGAGCTGAGTGTTTTTAGGTTTAAATGACCTTAAGCTCCTGAAATTGTCACAGTGTTGCAAGTCAGAGTCTCTCTGTTGGTTACTGGGTTGCCGGTGTTTTGAAGAATACTTAAAACTGGAAGCAAACACCACTCTCTCTTTCCAACTTCAAGATCTCCTCCAGACGCATGTGAAGATTGACATATTTTATTAACTGTTCCTGTACTTGAAAGTGTCTTCCTGTAAAGCATTTTGTTTGTTTTTCGGTATCTTCATAAGATGTATGTTGATGTATATACCTGTCCCGTACTACTTCCAGTTGTTTTGCTTTGGCAGCCTAACTATGCCCTGGGTTTGGCCTCCCTGCAGATTCCACATGGGGCCATGGTCAAGAGGATGCACATCTACACTGGTAACAACCTGCAGGAAACAAGGTAACGTGCAGCAGGCATGTATGCAGATACATTCACTAGATGTCATACATCTACCATGGCTGCACAGTACTCTAATACTCTAATATAAATAAATAGAGAGAGAGAGAGGTTTCAATTATTATTTTCACATGGCCAAATCTCAATATTTGAGGTCCATATTTCACATATTAATATGACTTTGCTGAGTTTTGAGTCGTTTTGCAAAGGGTCGTTGAACAGAAACCGAAGCCAACTACACAACCTCAAATGAGGAAGTACGGTAATTGAGACACACTCTCTCTTCTGCCTGTCCTCAGAGCTCCGGCGATGCCATTAGCTTGTTTCCTTGGCAACATCTATGCAGAGTGCGTGGATGTCCTGAGAGATCAGACAGGGCCTCTGGGGCTCAGACTCCGACTCCTCACTGCAGGTAACCCGTCTGTCTGTGGTGGATGACTTGACAGCTAGTGTTGACTCTCTACCATAATGTTTACTATTGATGGAAGAAGCAGTAAATATAAGCCAAACATTTAAATTAATAATCATATATTTTTGATCATTTTGAATCTTTGTTGCATTATTAGCCATATTGATTGCACTAAATTTGGCTCCACTCCAAGGTAATAACAATAAATGTAACTTTTTAAAATTACACAACCCTAAATGGGACAAGCACGTACTTGGCAGCAGATGCCTGACTGTTTCCCTGACATCTGTCTTGGAGTTGAGTGATTTCCTTTCTTGTTGTTTTGTGTGTTAATGCAGCGTGTGGCCCTGGTGTGATGGCTGACACTAAGGTGAAGTCTCTAGAGAGGAGCATCTACTTTGGAGATTCTTGTCAGGACGTACTGGGTGCTCTGGGCTCTCCACATAAAGTCTTCTACAAGTCTGAGGACAAGGTGGGAACCCCTACTTCACATGTTTACTTGTTGTTGTTACTTGCAAGTTGTCTTATTGTGATCTACATCCTACCAGTCTCGCAGCTCAGTTTCCCCTGGGATCGTTATAGTTTCCTTTAACTCAAACTAATTGAATCAGTTCATTAATGACCTGCTACATTGTGCATCTTGGGTAAAACTATACATTTTTCTGATTTAAAAACTCTGCGTTACCATGTTTTCTTGTTTATTTTAGATGAAGATCCACTCTCCATCGCCTCACAAGCAGGTTCCTTCAAAATGTAATGACTACTTCTTCAACTATTTCACTCTTGGAGTGGTACGTAGGCTTGTTGATGTATGTGTTCATTTGTATACTTTTTGGTTTTAATGTTGTTGCATTTGTATGGTTCCTTTTTAAGAGACTTGTAAATCAGTTTAGAGTTACTGTACCTAGTACTTGTGTTATTTATGAATCCAAAGAGCAGCATGGGAAGTCTGAGGGAAGGAAGTGGGTTCACTTGAGCTTGGTATATGTACTTCATGTTTAATTCTGTGTACAGTGGGTTCGATTTTGGTCAGTTAGTGTACAATCTGTTTTCAGTCATATTGCACAGATATAGTCTCTCATTTGGTGCTTTCTGGGCCAAAGCTTTGTCTAATATGGATCTGTAGACTGTGTTTATGTCATCTGTATTTAGCCAGAGACCTTTTGGGTCACTGTCTGACCTGTTTGTTTGGACAGTCTGGGCTGGGAAAGTAAGCAAGATGAATTCCTCTGTCTCTCTGCAGCTGCTCTTTAGATGGGCTGAACATGAATCGCCAGTTCAGTATCTACATATGAATGGGTGTGGGTGGTGTAACACTGTCTCTGTCTGCATATACACTTACCGGCCACTTCAGTAGACGCAGCTGTACAATTGTGTGCACTTTAATGCAACACTTCTGCCTTAATAGCTGTGTTTTATGAAGTTCAAAATGTGTCAGTTTTTGGTGAAATTGTCATAAAAGTATAAACTTAACTATATGTTTATTACTGAAGTCATAGTTAAAGGTGGTGTTGTACTACACTACATTATATTCATCAAAAACAAACATTATGAGCTTCATAAACACAGATTTTAAGGCGGACATGTTACACTGAAGTACATACAATTGTACGGGTGTGACTGTTAAAGTGGCCAGACAGTGTACTTGCTCATTGTTTACAGCCATGGCCAAAAGGTTTGAGAATGACACAAATATTAATTTTCACAAAGTCTGCTGCCTCAGTTTGTATGATGCAGTTTGTATATACTCAAGAATGTTATGAAGAATGATCAGATGAATTGCAATTCAGTGCAAAGTCCCTCCGTGATGAAAATGAGCTTGATCCTAAAAAACCCATTTCCACTGCCCAAGAAAGTCCAGCAAGCACCAGGGCCATCTCCTAAAGTTGATTCAGCTGAGGGATCGGGGCACCACCAGTGCAGAGCTTGCTAAGGGATGGCAGCGTGCAGGTGTAAACGCATCTGCACACTTAGTGAGGCAAAGACTTTTGGAGGATGGCCTGGTGGCAAGAAGGGCAGCAAAGAAGCCACTTATCTCCAGGAAAAACATCAGGGACAGACTGATATTCTGCAAAGGGAACAGGGATTGGACTGCTGAGGACAGGGGCAAAGTCATTTTCTTTGATGAATCCCCTTTCCGATTGTTTGGGGTATCCAGAAGAAAGCTTGTCCAGAGGAAAAAAGGGTGAGTGCTACCATCAGTCCTGTGTCGTGCCAACAGTAAAGCATCCTGAGACCATTCATGTGTGGGGTTGCTTCTCATTCAAGGGAGTGGGCTTACTCACAATTTTGCCCAAGAGCACAGCCATGAATAAAGAATGGTACAAAAACATCCTCCAAGAGCAACTTCTCCCAACCATCCAAGAACAGTTTGGTGACGAACAATGCCTTTTCCAGCATGATGGAGCACCTTGCCATAAGGCAAGAGTGGTAACTAAGTGGCTTGGAGAACAAAACATCGAAATTTTGGGTCCGTGGCCTGGAAACTCCCCAGATCTTAATCCCATTGAGAACTTGTGGTCAAACCTGAAGAGGCGGGTGGACAAACAAAGCCCCACAAATTCTGACAAACTCCAAGTAATGATTATGCAACAATGGGCTGCCATCACTCAGGATGTGGCCCAGAAGTTGCCGGGGCGAATTGCAAAGGCCTTGAAACAGAAGGGTCAACACTGCAAATATTGCCTCTTTGCATAAACTTAATGTAATTGTCAATAAATGCCTTTGACACTTATGAAATGCTTATAATTCTACTTCAGTATACCATAGTAACATCTGACAAAAAGCTCTAAAAACACTGAGGCAGCAGACTTTATGAAAATTAATCATTTGTGTCATTCTCAAAACGTTTGGCCACGGCTGTACAGTAGATACTAAGCTGGTGTGGTCAAACAAAAGCATTCCTGATGGTAATGCTGTCTTATTTTCCAGGATATCCTTTTTGACTCGACAACTCACCTTGCTAAGAAATTTGTCCTCCACACCAACTACCCTGGACATTACAACTTCAACATGTACGTACTTTGCTGTCTGGTCAACTTGTTTCCATCTGTCATTCTTTCTTCATGATTCTTGTACTCTGATTTCTCTTCCTGTTTGTCTTTGTCCTTCGTAGTTGATCATTCGGCATCTGATATTATGTTATACGTTCGGCCTTATCACTCCATTTCCATTTCACCACTGTACTGTCTGGTTTTAGTTTAAATTTCTATGCTTTTGTCTGTGTTCTCTCTCTCTCTCATCACAGATATCATAGATGTGACTTTAAGATTCCTTTCGTCATTAAGAAAGGTGAGTTTTCAGTCAACCATCTGCTAGTTTCAGCATAAATCCTGTGCTTTTTTTTCTCTTTTAAATCCTGCTGTCAATTAATGTCATTTTTGTCACTTTACACATTAGATGGAGCTGATTCTCAGACCGAGGACTGTGTGTTAACCACCTACAGCAAGGTCAGTTACAGGCGGAGTTCAAAGAAACTGTTCACTGTAACTAGAGGTCAAGTACTTTGTGGTAAATTTGCAAGATGGTGCTGTGGTAGGGCTGTAATGAACTGGCATGGTCTTGTGGCTTGAGTTCAGTTTTTTGATTTAGGACTCTATACCTCTTTGTTGGGAATTAAAGAACTGTGCCCTTTCATTTGGTTTTCTTTGGCTCCTAAAACCTGGTCTCTGCATCACCAGTAAACCTGTTTTTACCATATTTTGCCATTAGAAACAGTAGTAGCAGTTTCTTACTTTATAAATTTATCACCTGCATGCAACCACAGACTTGTTGTTCCTCTATCAGCCTTTTGGCCTAGTGACCTTGTGAAATCAGTGTTTGCAGTGGACAAACAAATCTTTTTATTGACCGGTTTATCTCTCTTAACTTTCTCTGTCAGTGGGATCAGATTCAAGAACTGCTGGGTCACCCTATGGAGAAGCCTGTAGTCCTCCACAGGTAAAGTTGCAATGCCCTTGCATATTCACAGATATTGTGATGCGGATCACATTGCTACACAGGATCATCTATCATAATCTATTGGTTTCCAAATACAGTATTTGAACTGCAAGGTCTTTAGAGGAGAAGTAAACATGTCAGACCTCATCCCAGTAACTGTCTTTCTGACATTATCAGGTGTTTTGTGTTTGACAGGTCCTCATCAGCCAACAACACCAACCCCTTCGGCTCCACCTTCTGCTTCGGACTACAGAGGATGATATTCGAGGTCAGAACACTTTGTATCTCTGTAGCTTTAGCTGAGACTAGAGTGTTTACAGTGTCTATAAAAGTATAGATGGTATACTGTACAGTACACATGTTGCACAGATTGTCCTGTTCCGGTTGTCTGCTTGTTATCATGCACCTGTGTAATCCATTTGTGCTAATAATTCAATTTTCTTCCTCAGGTAATGCAGAATAACCACATAGCAGCAGTGACCCTCTATGGGGCTTCACGGACCACCAGTCACGCCCGGCCTGAGTCCAGTAGTAGCTCCCACTGAGCAAGTAACCAGAACCGCATCCCATTCTGGCTTCTCCTGAATCTAGACCTCGACTTACTGAACTTCTAACCCAGAGCCAGATTCTTAAACAAGCAGACCTAACCCAGAACAGCAAAGTTATTCATGCCCAACTTAGATTTTACACGTTGAAAAGAATCGCAGCAAGAACCCTAGATAACCCAGAAACAAATCAGACCTGGCATTAATAAAAGATGTACTCTTCCATACAGACACAACAACCTAGACTGTCCCAGGACTCTGACCGGGATTTAGTGACATGGCCATACTGAGCTCTGGAATGAAACCAGCCAAGCTGCTTCTTGCTCGTGTGGGAATATCACAGCATTGAAGAAGTCTGCGTTCTGGCAGAGCTCAACATTTTCCTGTTGATGTCCATATGACTGCATTTGCCCAGGCTCGAAGTAGAAGAGTCTGTCCACACTGTATTATGGATGCCATGGTTCCACCTGTAAGATATAACGGCATCCTGTAAGTGACAGACAACAGCCTGTGTTACACTGAGACGATTAGCATTTAAATGTCATCTGCAGCAAATCTCCGGTGTTTCAAAGGTAGAGTTCAGTAGTTGAAATTACAAACTGGCTTGATCTGCTGGAAGCACATCAACCAGTACCACCTGTCTTCCTTTACAACCAGACCCAGCAAGCCCCGTCAAACCGCAAGAACCAAACCAGCCCAGCTTAAACTAGAGCCATCAGAGCCAAAAACACAGGAAGTTGCAGAGGACTGTAGTCTAAACCCAGAGAAGAACCAAACACACTCAGGGTTTGAAGAGAGATGAGGCCCAGAACAAACCCGCCTAATGACCGTGCCAGCCCAACCAGATGTGAAGTTTCCTAAAGCAAGCATCCAGTCCAAACGTCTGATTTCGTCTCCCTCAATTACTGTCTTCATCTTCCTACTCACCTTTATTCATTGGTGGCCACACAAGCACACAACAGCAGTAAACTCTGTTGATCCATTGCAGTTGTTTGCAGCTCTGGATGTTTGTCTTCTTCATGCACAAACACAGTCGCATAAAAGAGTATGCAGATTTTTTAATTGACATTTCAACAGACTTTAATTCAAGCACACACAGCATTTCGGTCCTTTCATTAGCACAGTACGCTGTCATGTATTTCTGCTACACAAGAGCAGGTTGATCTCTTCCGCTTTTTAAGCGTGGTACAAACATGGAGACGTGCAGGCATGACACAAAGATTTGCATAAACTTGGCAGAAGTCTTTGAATCTGAGGAGACTAAATACAAGCACAAACTGGCAACCTGTTGTATTATTTGGTCCTGCATGTTGCGGTAGGCTTAGGCACAGCATTTCTTTAGTTACCGCTGCCCTGTTTCACTTGTTCACACATGACCTTTTTCATAGTTCTGTTGTTAAAATCCGTTAACATTTGCACTAATACACACCATTTTATTTGATTGGTTTGAGTATGCCCTGTCCTGTTTGATGGCCTTGTAAAGAAACTTGGAAAGATAGTGGTGTGTGTGTGCGTGAGAGAGAGAGAGAGCGATTGTGTTTTATCCATCTGTCTAGACGGAGGAGAGCTCTTCCTATGATGCATGGCATTTGTTACAATCTGTCCTCTGTGCTTTTACTCCACAACAGTTGAATGGTTTGCAGGTCCTCCCTCAGCAGCGTCTGTATTTATTCCTTTGTTGAGTTGCCAAATGCTAGAGCCAAAGATGTTTCAGGATGGTTTCATTTGATCTGACGTTGTAATCTCTCATCTCATTCCTATGGACAGTGTCGAGCTTGGCCCGTCTTCTTTCTATTGCATCTTTTTGTTTCGAACTTGTGCATCAAAGTCACTGCTGTGGTAAAGCCTCTAAATGTAGTTATTTGTCTCTGTAACTGCTGACACTAATTACATGAGACATGAATAGCTGGCTTTGAAACCTGTCTACCATCTGGATTTGGTTGCAGCGAGAGACGCATTAACAATAGAAAGTAATGACACAACTAGTATAGAGTTGTACAGCGGTTATTGTTTTCAACAGCTGCAGTTTAAAGAATTACTGTTATTTCTGTATGGATTCACCACATTTGAACCCATCGGAAATGGGAAAGAACATCAGCATTAACATCTGACTGCAGTTTGCATATCCCTCCCAATGTATACACGTCATTTTTTTCACTACAAGTATTTGAATAAACTATGTATTCATTTCAGTACACGTTCTCATGTATTGTCCCTTGATACAAATCTTAGTTTTTTTTTCTTTATTTTCATTGTTGCTGAATTTATGATTGTCCCATTAACATTGAAGTCAGGGCCCTGATACATGACATAATGCTGAGCAGAGATTGATTTGTGCTTGTGTGGAGTTAGAAGCAGCACATTAGTTTGGCTGTGAACGGGTAGCTCAATAACTGAGTAGTTTTTTTTTTTTAGGAATATCAGTCATAACATGACCATAGGTCATGAGCTTTGGGTCATGACCGAAAGGGCAAGATCTCGGATACAGGCGGCCAAAATGAGCTTTCTCCGCAGGGCGGCCGGGCGCACCCTTAGAGATAGGGTGAGGAGCTCGGTCACCCGGGAGGAGCTCAGAGTAGAACCGCTGCTCCTCCACATCGAGAGGAGCCAGCTGAGGTGGCTCGGGCATCTGTTTCGGATGCCTCCTGGGCGCCTTCCTAGGGAGGTGTTCCAGGCATGTCCCACCGGGAGGAGGCCCCGGGGAAGACCCAGGACACGCTGGAGGGACTATGTCTCTCGGCTGGCCTGGGAACGCCTTGGCATTCCCCCGGAGGAGCTGGAGGAAGTGTCTGGAGAGAGGGAAGTCTGGGCATCTTTGCTTAGACTGCTGCCCCCGTGACCCGGTTCCGGATAAGCGGAGGAAAATGGATGGATGGATGGACAGTCTTAACATTAAAAGCTTTTTAATGCAGTATCTCATTTTGTATGTTTTCATTACTATTCTGTGCATGTTCCTCAACAAAGCCAGCTGACTACAGTAAATTATTTAATGTTTATCATTAAACCAGATCACAATATGTTTGTCAGTGCGGCTGCTCACAAGCTAAAGTAGAACATGTCAAATGTATTTTACAGCAGTGTTTCAGTAAACAAACTAGTTTAAAAAAAAAAAAACCTTTTCATTGTAATAGTAGAATAAGGATTTCTTTCTTCTTGTGTGTCTAATTCCCAATCAAAAGTAAGCTTAGTTTTAACGGTTTGCTGATAGTAGCCTTTATTTATAGTACCTTGTTTTTGGCACAGCATGGCTCTGAACTGAAGGGTTGTTATACAACCAGTCTCCTGTGGTTTCTTACTGTATAAATGACCATGAGAAGACCGAGTTTGAGCAGTCGGTATGACTTTCTGTCCTGTGTTAACAATTATTTCTCAGATCACTTCCGAGAAGTACTTCTGTATTTGGGTCCTGATACTTTATGTAGTTGGTGTTCATATACAAATGTTGTAAATAGTTGTGTGCTCTTATTCTAGTGTTCTCTTATTTATATGCTAATGGCTTGGCACCGATACAGCTGACTCAGACACTGGCTGAGTACCCCCATATTTCCTCGATTCTGATCCTGAAATTCAAGAGAGAACATCTACTCACACACAGCTATTTTGTTTGCTTGAATTACAGAGTATTTGTACTGAAACATTTTCATGTGAAATGCTTAAAACTGCAAGAACACAATGTGTTGGGTGTCAGTACAAAGCCTTGCTTTGTCTTCACTTCACACTACACTTTCCTGATCATTCACAGGAAATGCAAAGATCCATTTACACAGGCAGGGAAAACTAATACTTGATCACATATGGACTAGAAGAGCTGGTTTTTGGACAGAATCAGATTTGGAGTCTAGTTTTGTCATATTGCTAGAGTTCACGTGTTTGTGTAGAAAAATCGCTTTGGCTGCAGCTTTCTTTGAGCCAGGGCTCCCTCTGTAATGTGGTGACGTGGTTTCTGGATTAAGGAGAGATGAATGTTTCACAGCTTTTGTTTTGTTTTGTTTTTGTTTTTTATTAAACGGGGATCTCCAAAGCTAGATAATGAATTTCATTTGAATTCCAGCAAATAAAGCTGACTTTGCTGTCAGGTTCAAGAAGTGTAAGAATGATGGTCCAGCAACATCTCATAAACTCAAACGCACTGTGCTTTACTCCTGGTTTATCCACATCTCAAGCTGAGTAGATGTAATATAATTGTCATGAAAGTTATACTCAAGTATTTTACTATCACTTGCTTTTGTGCGAGTAAATACAAGAAAAAGTAAAAACACCAAACTGTTGAACATTGTGCCTCATCTCCCACTGAGCCTGTCTTTGACTTCTCTCTCTGTAAAAAGGAATCTCCTTGGACTTGAGAATGCATTTGAACTGCATTATTGTACAGTATGTATGTGTGCGTGTCACTGAGCATTAGCAACAAGCTAGCATGGCATTATGGCCGTCTGAAGATATTTTCAAGTACGCCAAACCCTTAAAATCTCATCATATACCTACTGTTACTATATGTATTATTTCCAGTGAGATTCTACCAGGAAAAAAAAAACCTAGTAAGAAGCTTCTGTGGGCAAACACATGCTAAATAATTTCAGGGAAACTGCGCCCAACACAAACATTAGATTAAAAGAAAAGATTTGTCTTACTGACCAGGTTTTGGTAAGCCCAGTCCAGCGCCATTGATGTTGTGGGATTGTCACTGAGGGAGACAGAGAGGAGCCGTTGGGTGCTGGGTAGTTAATCTCACCCAAACTCAGGTGGACATATCACATCCTTGTTTTTCAATTTATTTTTTTTTTAATATGAAAATTTCAAATGTGTTTGACAGTTTGAAGGTTTGCGTGGCTTTTCAGTTTCACTAGTTTTCTTATGTCATTGAATGAAGGAATGAATGATTGCTGTAATTTATAATGAACAGCTTCAGTTCAGTGTAACGATAATTTCATATTAGCCCTTTGTATTGTCTGTTCTTGGTATAATGTTCTGTTGCCCATCGCCCTCAGTCTATTCTCTTCAGAATTTTTTTTTTTTTTTTTTTGGTGAACTCCTTTTAGGCCCATTTCTGGAAATGGGTCAGTTAATTAAAACATGTGAAATTCATTGGAATGTGGCATTTTATATTTTGAATACTATAAACATTGTGTATGAAGAAATATGTAAATTTATTCAGCATGTCCACTGAAAAAGGCAATAATATGTTGTAGTGCAAAGCGAAGGATGAGGATGACAGAGATGACATTTGACAGTGTTTGATGGTTGGAGAGACAAGCTACTGCTGTGTGCTCTCTGACAACTGCAATGCAACATTTAGACTTTTATGAAATCAAATGCTCACTGTTCTTTGACATTAAAGTTCATTGTGTTTGCAACCAAGATATGAAAACATAATAAATGTGGATGTGAAAAAGATTTGGTTTTATTTCTCATTTTACACGAAATGCAAAATTGACTTTTGACATCAATGCTCTTTCTTCTAGCAAATCCTAAGGTGCTTTAAATTATTTTTTCACCATTAGGACACAGTCATTTTTTAAATTTGTCTTTTAAAAAGTGATCGCCTGGTTTGCTCAGGTTTGTAGGCATAACACAAAATCACAGCCTGACGCTTGTTTGTCTATAACTGCCAACGTGCATGTAAATCAGCGATGGAGTTTGTGAACAGAATCACATTCATTAATTGTGTATGAGACTGTACCTCATTTATATGTGACATATTGCACATTCTTCTTTCAAGATTTAAGTAATTGTTTTAACCAACCAACAGCTCGATACCGATGCTGACCAGCTGTACTGTGCACCACTCTATGTGCAGGTTCAGGCTTCATCTAACGGTACAGTATCTCACTTTCACTGCTGCAGCAGTTCAGAAACTAACGTGCAAACACAAAAACACATCACAACAAAGCCCTTTGGATGATGTGTAACCCCCACTTCTGCAACCACAGTTGTGACATAGAAATGCTGCTCTAGGAATGTCTATCATGACAAAAATTTAAAAAAAGGGCACCAGCTGAAGTCCAGAGCACATGAGCTTGTTTAATATTCACACCAACAAACAAATAATGTGATCCATGTAGAGCTTGTTTTTTGTTGTTGGAATGCAGCTGATGAAAGTAAAGATGTAAATGGTTTTGTACTGTAATTAAAGTCAAAACTATTTCAGTTTGTTTACTGAACACTGCTGTAAAATACATTTGACATGTTGTACTTTAGCTTGTGAGCAGTAATAAGTGTTCACATGAGAGAACACAAACCTGGCTCCTCAACCTTAGGCTTCTCCACAAACATTCAGCAGAGTTTTTCCTTGTGTGTGTGTGTGTGTGTGTGTGTTGCAGTCCCAGTTGGTTCCCCCTGTGCAGCTGGTTTCCATTTAGGCATCATTTGTTGTTTCTCCAGGAAACACACAATGTCCATTTGTGCTTCTATCCAGCATTAGAAAAAGGGGAGCATCTCTGTTTGTAATTCACATCAGAACAAGAAAAGTCTGCTGCCTCTTCAGTCACTCAGCCATTTCTAGTAAAGTAGCGGAATACTGAATCGAATGAAAGTCAGAGTATTAACAGTGTTGTGCTCTGAGACACACAGGTTAATCCAGCTAACCAAATTTTATTAGTGTCTTTTAGAATTTTAGTATCTGTGTAAACAATTATAAAACAACACATTCTGAAGATTACACATTCCAAAGTCCAGAGAGATTCAACTCATCACAAGCGTCTTGACAAATCAAAATCTCACCTCACAGTTGTTGGCAAACACTGCACAAACAGACAGACTTTGATGGAAAAAGCTTAACTTCTCTTTGGGCTTCCTAACAGAAAAATCTATGGCATATTTGGACTTTTCATTTCCCCAGAGATGATCTGCCAGCCTGGATAAAAACTCATATGACTCAGCTGTGCTTCTGGACACAAACCTTTCAAATTGGCCACAGATACTGCGCTATGCCCATTTTGTACTCACTAGGGCTCTCGCAGATCCTATTCAGACTAATGTGTGACAAACACCTGCTTCTCGCTGTAGTCCATGTCCTCTTTTGTTATGTCTCTCACCTTCCCCCTCCATTTAAAGGACCAGGATGTCAGACTGGTCCTGTTTTGGCAACTCAGTGTGGGATCATGTAGGAGGTTCCACATAAGCCAGATCTGGGGAACACTAAGGCTGTGAACAACCATGAGTTCTCGGTAGAAACAGGGGTCAAACGTCTGAAGGTGTGGCGCTGCAGAAGGTCGGGGGATTCCAAATGTCCGAAAGCCCTGGTGCCGTGAAGGTTTGACGCTGATCAGCTGGAGGCACATTCCCAGAAAGACGTCATCAATGGGGAACAACTCCACCTTGGAGAGCAAAATACAATTACACTATATATCAAAGAACTGTAAAAACAGATATACCAAGTTTTTAAAACTTTCACAGTATGAAGTACCTGCTGACAGGCAGAGCTAAGCCTCCGAGCTGTATGTCCAGACATGACAAACCCTCCTCCGCCAGCATAATCAGGGTACAATTCCCCTCCGTACACTAACTTTGGCACATAGTACTTGGAACTGCGCCGGCGAATGGGTTTAGCATGGATAATAATATCACCAACAAACAGATCCTCCTCTGGCTTCTGAAACTGCAGCATCTCTAATATGTTTTCCACATTAACATACACATCAGTGTCACCTTTGAAGATAAACCTGCACAAGAAAAGGAAATAAAAGCATCAACGCTGAGTCACATTAGGCTAATAATCTGTTAAACTTTACCTTCTTATTGACACTCACTTGACGTCAGGACAGCTGCTGTTGACCCAATTCAGAAAATGTGTTTCCTTCAGCGTTAGATTAAAAAAGGTGTCTTCAAAGTCCCAGAGCAGGATATCCCTAAAAATCTGACTCTCGTAGGTCAAGAGCCGATCCCACAGAGGCAGAGCAGTCCTATTTCTGGGAACCCCCAGCAAGAAAACAGTGCGGATGGAGACGCCATTTTGGAAATGTCCCTCCTTACCCCATGTCCGACGTACCACCTAAAAGAATTAAGTGAAGAGAGAAACATTATTTTGTATTGAATAAAACCTGTATTAATTGAATTTGCACACTTGACATGTTAGCAAATAGTGTTTGCACATTAGACAGACACAGAGCAACATTAGCATTCATTTGAAGTTGTGCTTGTGAATCTCACTCCAGTATTTGATATTCTCCACAAACTCCTTAGCAAAAATGTCTGGCTCTTTAAATGGCTGTTAAAGGCCTAATTGTGTGTTGCTAGTTGTTAACTTTGTCTGTCTGCTTCTTTGTACTGAGCAGGTAGTGTACAATAGTTTTATGAGGCTGGAAACAACATAGAGTGAACCAAGACAGTAAAGTTGAGGGCCAGAAAACCAGGAAGAGCAGAGATGTGTCTGCAATTCAAGGAGTGAAAACTGTGGTCATGAGGACAAGATTTTTTAGACCAATCCAACAGCC